AAAAAAAAAAAAAAAAAAAAAATTTGCCAGAACCTGGAAAATGCTCTCCCCCCAAATTTTCACCAATATTGAGGAAAAAAGGGCCCGTGGGTGGGTGGGTGGGTGGGTGGGGTGGGGGGGAATATTTTCTTGACCAAATTTGTCCTATCAAACGCCTACTTTGCATGGAAATGAAAATTCTTTTCCTGATTCTAGGGAAAATAATAGTTATCAAACATGGCCTAATTTTGATATTGCTATCGATAATTTACTAAAATTCAATACATCAATCTCACGCTATATTTGGTCCAATACTCCTATTTAAATAGATTAAGACCTTGTATTTATAAATAAAGGCTCCATTCGCTTAAAAAAAAAAAAACTCTTATTGGCATCTATTTCATTTCATTAATTGTTCATCCATCAAGACATTGGACACACTTTGAAAATAAAATCTCAATTTCTTTTAAGTATACGCTAACATGTAAGTTTTGATATGATTGGTAGGTTTCTTTTGATTAACGGTATGTTTGGCTAAGTTTACAAATTACTAAAAGCTAAATGTTTTGCTATTATGTCCGAAGGTTTTTTTATCGTAAGTTTTTACTTGCTTTTAGAAAATTAGGTTTACGTTTTTTCTTTCTTTTTTCTCTTTTAAGTATATGCTAACATGTAAGTTTTGATATGACTGGTAGGTTTCTCTTAGAAAATTAGGTTTACATTTTTTTCTTTCTTTCTTTTCTTTTAAGTATACGCTAACATGTAAGTTTTGATATGATTGGTAGGTTTCTTTTCATTAACAGTATGTTTGGTTAAGTTTACAGATTACAAAAAGCTAAGTTTTCTACTATTATGTCTGAAGGTTTTTTGATAGTAAGCTTTTAATTGCTCTTAGAAAATTAGTTTTACGTTTTTTTCTTTCTTTCTTCTCTTTTAAGTATATGCTAACGTGTAAGTTTTGATATGATTGGTTTATTTCTCTTAGAAAATTAGGTTTACATTTTTTTTCTTTTTTTCTTCTCTTTTAAGTATATGCTAACGTGTAAGTTTTGATATGATTGGTATATTTCTCTTAGAAAATTAGGTTTACATTTTTTTTCTTTCTTTCTTTTCTTTTAAGTGTACGTTAACATGTAAGTTTTGATATGATTAGTAGATTTCTTTTCATTAACAGTATGTTTGATTAAGTTTACAAATTACAAAAATCTAACTTTTCTGCTATTATGTCTGAATTTTTTTGATAGTAAGTTTTATTTATTTTTTTGATAGTAAGTTTTTACTTGCTCTTAAAAAATTAGGTTTACATTTTTTCTTTCTTTCTTTTCTTTTACGAATACGCTAACATGCAAGTTTTGATATGAATGGTATGCTTCTTTTCATATTGTATGTTTGGCTCAGTTTACAAATTATTAAAAAGGGCTCCACCAAAATAGTTATCGTTCTAATACACTAGAAAGCAACAAAGATTATCACTACAAAAGTCACAATACAAAAATCCAAATAGATTTAGCCCACAGACCTAGTTTTCTTCTCTCAAGAAATCTCAACCGATTACACCATGTAACCAAAGGTTACTGCTTAATCAAGAAAGGAATCATCACAATTATAAAGCAATCTACACTAGACTTCACCAAGAATATCTAGAAAATCCACAGTTACAGACGAAAACTAAAAGTTTTCAGAGAAAGAACACAGAGAGCAGAATAAGAGAAAACCCTAGAAAATATCTTGAATCGAATCGTCGCAACAAATGAGAAGACAAGCCAAATAATACAAAAGTCAGAAGCATCCAACGGTTACACTTTATCCAAATGGCATCATCTCAACCCTTCAAATTTAATGAACTAAAGTCGCATTTCAGCAAAATGCGAATGCTCAAAAATGGAAAAGGGCAGCCGAGTTACATTCCACCAAATTGGGCTGGACTCAATTTTGGATTGGACTCTCTAATTGGGTTGCATCATTGGGCCACGTTATTGGGTTCCATCATTGGGCCCAAAGTGTTAAGATGTTTAACATACGCCTTATTGTTTAAGATTCTGAGTTTCGATTGTGCAATTTCCAATTTGTGTTGTTAATTAAGTAATCCATAGAAAATAAAAGCAAAATTTCTTGTTTTTAAATCATGAATTGGCAACGTGGATGTTTGTAACGCACAAGGCATTCTTACCGGTATAATAATGTAGGGGACTCTGAGTACGCTTCAATATGGCTGCCAAAATTAACGGAATTACAATCATAAATCACATTAAAGATATTGTTATGTATCTCTTAAAGTTGTGATCAGAGTGAATAGAATATTACAATTTTTTTTCCCTAAAATTTGAGAATAAGAGTCCATATACCGAATTCAAATACGACTTACTTATTAAATATCACAAGTCTCATATATTAAAATTAAAACGATGAATTACATGTCACATCACATATAAGGGTCACAGTTACAACACAGTCCTATTAAATTAAAACCAACATTTTTTAATTCTTTTAAAGGAAATAGAAGTGTCACATAAGTGAATTAAAAATTAAGAAGATCACAATTATCATCAAAATTTCTGCATTGGGAAATTTCTGCCAGTGATATCACTACTGTAATTGAAAAAAGAAGAATAGATGTGAATTTTTGACGTTTCAAATTGGAGAGAAAAATGTTATACAAATTAAAGCAAGAAAAATGATGTCTAATTTTAGATCAAGTTTGTTGCGTTTTTCATCCTGGCATATCGGTAATTGCAGAGAGACAATTAATTAAAAAAATATTATTTATTTTCTAGCGAGAAGACCATTTTTGCCACATAAAACAAATACATAGTTTACACTTTATAATTTTTTTTATCTGAAGCATAAAACGAACCAAGCTGCAGAAGAACCTCGGTTCCATCACTATACATGGAACCAAAGATTAATTTGTATAGTTCTTGTTAAAAATCACCAATTTGTTTCAGTTACCATCCCAAGATGATTGAACTCGAAAATGCCTAGTCCTACTCGTTAAAGAATTTGATTTTTTTTTTTAAATAAATAAAATATTAACTGAAAATTCAAAAAAAAAAAAAAAAAAA